TATATATATATATTATATATATATATGCCTCGTTAATAGATTTTTATTATTTGGCATAAATCTCAAAATATATTTTGAGCAAAAACTCTTTGATAATCATATTCAAGATTATTTGAAGCTCCGATTTTGAACCCTAAAGATCATTTGAAGACCCGATTTCAACAAGTTTATAGACAAATTGATCATCTCGAAAAGACAAACTCAATTATACCAAAATTACTTCAATCCGAGTTAGTCAAATCTAGACCAAACTATTAAAACACAGTTAAATGTTTCAGATCATTAATTAAATAGTTAAATGAACTCCAAATTGACGTGTTTATTTTTAAATTAATCATCTCGATAAGAAGAATCAAACGAGTCCAAGCTCGTTTAATTTTGATGTTATTTAGGCCCTTAAATTACTAAAAAAAATCTCTTTTAATCAAAAGGTGTAAATATGAGAGTTTTTTGTTGATTGAACAAAATTTCTCTCTATCAGACAATATAAATAAACCCCCTCTCTTCACTTGAAGAGAAGGACAATAAGCAAATTTCATTACTGTTTTGAACTGAAGACCCAACGATTACTTCCAACATCTATAGTTGTCAACCATCGTCAACCACCACCGTCGGTCATTGTCGACCACCGCAGGCTGCCCCATGCTCACTGCCATCAGAGAACTATGTTGTGTAACAAAGTATCTTGGATACAATATAATGAAGTATCCCGAGTAAGGTCTAACAAAGTACTCCAAGTACAGGGCAACAAAGCATCCTAAATGTTATGCAACAGAATATCTCAAATATAGGGTAGCAAAATATCATGAATATTATACAACAAAGTATTTTTAATATGAGGTAACGAAGCATCTTTATACTATGCAATGGAGTATCCTAATATGGGATAATAAAGTACCCTAAATATTGTGCAATGAAGTATCCTAAAATATGGTGTAACTGAGTCTCAAACACAAGGTAGTGGAGTATTACGAAAATCTGATGATAACTCCTGACAACAACTCCTTTTGACCACCATATTAAGAATATGATGTTTTTCTTCAGATTCTTGAAGTTTTCTTCTTATGTTGTATGCCGACAAGTGATATTGCTTATGTAAAAGAGTAAACCGAAGTGAAGAGTTGTAGTCACCAACTGGTGTAACACCAACTATGACCTCTGTGGCCAACTAACGCTCTTACAGCAACACACTATAGCCTATGTAACCAGTTACTTTTGTATCTTCTCACTATGGCCTATGTAACCAGTTACTTTTGTATATTCTCACTACAACATACACAGCCAACTAATGCTCTTACAGTGACCCACTACGACTTATGTGACTGATTACTACAGTAGCTACCCAGTAGGCCTTGCATGACTAACTTTTGCATTACAACATTTCACTATAGTCTCAGTGGCCAACTAGTTGCTATGAACTATGTAGTTGGTTACAACTATAGCTACTTGCTACGGCCTACATAGTTAATTGATGTTACCATAACTATAACATTTGTGGCCAATTGATGCTTTTGTAGTGACCCACTACGACATATGTACTCGTTACTTTTGTAGCTTCCAAATTCGGCGTTTGTGGTCAACTATTATCATTAAGTCTTCCACCACACTCTTTGAGGTCAATTGACACTCTTGCAGTGATCATTACTGCCTATGTCACCAGATACTACTGTAGCTACCCACTACAAAATACATGGCTAATTGTTGTCATTCCATACTTCAATTGCAACCTCTGTGGCCAACTAACACTTTTGTTGTGATCCACTACGACCTGTATGGACAGTTACTATTGTGGTTACCTACTACAACCTATGTGGCTAACAGTTATCATTACGATCATCTACTACAGCTTTTTTTGCCAGCTGAATCTCTTGTATTGACCCACTATGCCCCATGTAGAAATTATTGTTGTAGCTACCCACTACGATCTACATGACTAACTACTATCATTATAGCCTTCCACTACAATACTTGTGGGAAATTAATGTCTTGTAACAACCCACTATGCCTTATGTGGACAGTTACTACTATAACTACCAACTACAATCTACATGACTAATTATTATTGTTATAACGTTCCACTACAATCTATGTAGCCAATTAATATTTCAGCTTCCCAAAACGCCCTTTATGGCCAACGGATGCTACTGTATTTACTAACAATGATCTATATGACCAACTACGACAATGTAGCCAACTACTAGTACGGATTCCCACTCTACTTCTACGACCAACTAACGTTATTACAATATCCAATTATGACATCTATGACCAATTAACGCTATTGCAACCACTGACTACAACATTTATTACTAACTACTGGCTTTGTAGAAACCAACTATAGCCATTGAAATACGCTATCACTTTTATTGCCAAAAATTATATTTATTGTAACTCAATTACAGCTATTAAAGGTGGATGACTATTTTACACATATTTATCAACACTCTAATTCCATCTTCTTTAATTTAAAAATGTTAACCTATGAACTCATAATCATATAGTTGATTATGTCATACTTTGTTGGTTTTTCACTTTCTAGAGTTTTTCAACATTAAAAATCTTAGTGGCTCCTACTATTTTTTTATTATATGTGTGTATGTTAGGTTTTCATACAACTTTAAGAAGTTAAATCATTACTCTACCACTGACACAAAACATGTGACACACAATATATATATATAT